CTGGGAGTTGAAGTCCACTCATCTTAAAGTGGCCAAGTTTGGACAACACTGTCTTAAAGGCAGCCCCTGGGAAAACCCTTGTTCTTATCCCAGTGAAACCCAACTCTGCCATAAAAGGATGTAGAGGAGAGCTTCTCCATCAGGAATTGGGGTTCGAGCTGATATGAGAGGAGGCAGTTCTGAAGGCCTCCTGGACACCAGCCCATTTTCAACTAACATCCTTAGGTGGGGTCACTGCCCTCCCAAAGAAAACCCAACAAAGTAAGCCAGATGGGGATCTGACAAGACAGGCGCTTTCTGGAAGTATGTCTGTATGTACAGTGAATGGATTGTCTTGTGGAAGTCTCCAGCAACGTCCCTTACTTGCAAATTGCTGCTGATCTTTTCTCATTCGGTCTGCCAAGGTATCCCCAAAGTTTTACACGTACCTGGAAACAAAGTGGGAAGCAGGGGACCCTCACTGGACGGGTATTGTGCATTGTCTCTGCAAGCCCACCAACATTTTCCTTGCTGTGTCCGGGATGAATTGCAGTTTTCTAAGGATTTTCACAGATAACTCCAAGGAGCTAAGGATAAAGATTCCTGGTGACTTGAGTTCTGTAGTTTTCTTAGCAAAAAGACAGAGGTTTTCATTATCATTGCCTTCCAGCATTTTTTTTAACTTTTCAACTAACCTGCGTTCCTGTCCTCCTCCCATACCTTCCTCCTCCCCCCCAAATAGAGCCCATAGTAACTTCTGACAGGGACTTCTGCATTCATCTTCTCAGCAGCCAATTTCCATGGGTGCATTCTCAACCTCCCAAGCCGAGGCACGGGGCCACTTTCACTTCAGCGTCTGAGTATTTTCTTCTGTCTTGGCTGGTGCTTTGCTTGCCTAGGGGACTGTCTGGTTGCCAAGAGCGCCTGCTATGGGTTGTGAATCCAGGGCAAGAAGGGAGTCCACCCAGCCACCCCTCTCCCAGGACTAATTTGAGGCTAAAAGAGGAAACTGCAGCAGGATCAGACAGCTGTGCTGAAATGTCAGACTGAGTAACAAAAAGGGCTGAGATGAGCAGCGAGTGATTTCATCTTAAATCACCCCAGCTGATACTTCTCTAAACTCTCCCGCTAGGACACTAGGACCAACAGCTGACTTTGGGGTACAGAGCATTCTTGGTGGGGTGGATGCTAGAGCAAGGACAGAGAATCCCATCCACCCGCCCCAGAACGTCTTGCTGGATTTGGCAAGGGTAGCAAAACTGAAAGTCTGCATCTTTTTAACCATTACTGTTCCCTTCATGCACGCTCAGCGAATGCATGAAGCTGCCAAGTTTCATCCTGCTTAAATTGATCAGTCAACCACAAACCTCCCAGAAATGAAATAAAAGAGCTGATTTTTTTCTTTCACCCTATCTTCCTCTATTTTCAGCCCTATCATCCCCCTGCAGTTCTTGGAAACTGAAAAATGTTCTGCCCTAGCCTGCAAACATTATTCTTTTTCATTTCCTGTTTCCCAAGAGTATCCTTGTTCACTGCAAATTCAACATGAGCCGGTAGGGCGATGCAACTGCTAAAAAGGCAAATACTATTTTGGGGTGCATTAACAGAAGCACAGAGTCCAGATGGTGGGAAGTAATCATTCTCCTCTACTCTATTGTGGTCTGGCTCCCTTTAGAGTATCATGTTCAGTTGTAGGCACCGACATTCGAAAAGGATAGTGACAAACTGGATCAAGTTTAGAGAAAGGCCGAGAAAGATGTGAAGGATCTGGAATCCAAGCCTATGAAGAATGGGGAAAGGAAATTAAACTGTTCAGCTCACAGAAGAGATGAAGGACAGGAGATATGGAGCAGGCTTCAAATATCTGAAGGGTTATCACACAGAAGGAGGAGCAGATTGATTCTCTTTTGCCCAGAGGGCAGGACCAGAATCAGGGGATTAAAACTACCAGGAAGGAGGTCTAGGCTAGAAATCAGGAGGAACTTCCTGACTGTATGGGCTTTCAGTCTGTGAAACAGGCAGATGAGCTCTCCTTCACAAGAGGTCTTCTAGTAGAGGCTGGTTATCTGTCAGATGCTCTCATGGGCCCTGCACTACCCCAGGGAATGGACCAGGGATCCTCAACCTTCTCTTTGAACATTATGATTCTTTGGAATCCATATGTTGCATGCATGCTATATTTCTTTGGTACTGATTGAAAGGCACTCTTCATATGTGCAGAAGCCCTGCCATGTATTGCAGCAGTACAGATTCCAAAGCTGAGCGCTTGCTTTGGGATGAGCCCTGGAGTTCAGAATCAACATTGCTAAGTTATGTAGCCCTTGACAAATTTAATGTTTTATCTATGATAAATGTGTGCTTCTCCCACTCAGCCAGTTGGCTTGCTCTTGGACGTTTCCAGCTGATGCATTCATTTTGCCTTTTTCTTCACAGGCTACCCTGGGTCCTCCTGGTTTGAAGGTATGTCTCTCCCTCTTCTCTAGCATCTCAGCTGCTTGTGGCACCTGAATCCCACTGTCCTCCTGAATTTCTCTTTCTGTCCCATGCAAAAACCAGACCACCATCCCCAAAGCTGCTATTTTCCATTTCCTTTTCTGATTTTCCCTGATTAGATTTTTTTGCTTGGTAAATACAAGCTAGCAAATATGCAAGTTCCATTACCTCAAACAGTTCCAGAATCTTTCCAGATTGGTTCCAAAATCAATAATGTTTCCCATGAGCTTAAATAGATTAAAACGCTTTCCCCAACTTTAATAAACATATTGTTTCGCCATTATTGCTAATCTTGCAGATCTTCCAGGCACACTTACGTAATTTGACAATACTTTAATTTTGTACATTTACAGTAATTTCAGGAGGGGGGGGGGATTGTGTGTTTTATGCAGTTATGCTCTTTGATATACCCATAAACATTGATGCTGCCATTGTTAGAACATCAGCTAAGTGTGCAATCAATTTTCAGGGCAGCAACCCAGACCGACGTGGGTGGAGACCCTGGCTCCTTCCTCACCGGACTGGCCTCTCCTCCCACCATTCTATCTCCTTCCGTCTCCACCACACCTGCCCCATCCTCCTCCTCTTCCTGACTCCCAACCCTACTTCCCTATTCAGGTATCAGGGAAAGGTGAAGAAGAGCAAGTGTGATCATGTGGCTTCAAGGACATGCTAAGATGGTTGACCAAATGGGATAAAGCTGCACGCAGAGGTGCAGATGTTGACACTTTTCAGTGCCGAGATCCAGCTCAAGAAAGCCTCAGGGTTTATTTTGGACAGCTGTGAAAGGGAATTCTATGGACAGCTGCCCTGAGAATATTCCCTGGCCATCATTTTCTTAAACTCTATTCCTCTTCCCTGCAGGGTGGGAAAGGTGAACGGGGACCTCCAGGAGTGTACGGATCCAAAGGCGAGAAAGGTGATCGTGTAAGTAGGCCCTTTCTTAACCTTCGTGGGATACCTGTCTGCTTTCTGGCTGCAACTTCTCAGATAGGATCTGGGGATTGAAACAGATGCTGGTTTAATAGAATTGGAACCTTCAACTGTTGCAAGAAAGGTCCCAAGGGCTGGGAAAGAAATGAAAGCATCAGAAAACATAATTCATGATGAGCAGATGAATATTTCAGGGTCAGTCTTATCTGGAAGAAGGATGGCTAGCTCTTCAGTATCGCATTTTGGGAAAATGAGGTTCAAACGGCTCTCAGAGATCCCACTTTAATGAATTCATTAATAAATGAGCGCTAGACATTTGGCTTATTCAGTTTCCAAGACTCTGTATATTAACCCCTTACCTTCTTGACAGTAAGTCACTAATGAGTTTACCAATAAATCTTTCTTTCTGGAATCTTTCATTCCGGGCTTTAAATGGCTTGGCAACTGTCTCTTGATGTGTCCTAAGATTGTCTTATCTTCTGATCTCCTTCCAGGGTGCTGACTGTGTCCGGATCTCACCTGAAGCCCCATTACAGGTGAATCCCCTCATCTCTGGAGAGAATCATGAGGATTTGGCATGTTCTGCTTTTCCTCTTTTCCTTCTTTATCCTAACCTTTCCTTGTTTGTTTTTGAAGTGTGCCGAAGGCCCAAAAGGAGAAAAGGGAAACCAAGGAGAAAAGGTAGGCATGGATTTACCAAAACATGGGAAAACCAACAAAAAAAAAAGAAAAGTTGTATTTAAACCTCCCCCTGTTCTTTCTCTTCGCCTTAACAGGCCTCAGATCTTCACACTAATCCCTCTCTGCATTCCAACAGATTTTACTCAGGAAGGATTTGGTCAATATTAGCCTAAGATATTATGATTTATTTTAAAAACATAGTCTGCTTGTAAGGCAAGCCTTAACTCAGGGGAAAATATGAGGAAAAAAATCCCAAACTTTCTTTGGGTGATGTTGGCTCAGACATACCTGCAAAGATCAGCAGCGCTGAAAAATGGGCTGCAGAACATCGACAGTGTGTAACATGTGATGTTCCTGGAAAGGAAAAAAGGAGTCGTTTCACTCCAAATGTAGCCCTGGCATGGCAGATGAAACCCTCAGACCGGCAAAGATGCCTTCTGCGGCTGCTTCTTCCCAGTTTCTTTGCACCTTTTCTCCTTCCTTGACTCCTCCTTTTTCCCACCTAACCCAACAGCATCCATGGTTGTGTTCACACTGTCAGAAGGATGAGACCCCTTCTTTTTCTTTGTTCGTTTCCCAAGCCAGGATTTTAATGAAAATCACCAGAAAATCAGTGGAGGTCAAACATATTTATTCACCCAAAGTTGTTAGGTAGCTTTGGATGGGTGGCCACAAATGGACTGCCTTTACATCTCCCTTTTTATAGGAATTTTAGTTTAAAAATTTAGCCAATCATTATCAATGGAATGGAATGTGTTAGCTATTACAATGAACATCTTCCTCCAGTATAATCCTTCCTTCCTTTCATATTCTGATAAACAGATATTTCCTTATCTTAAAATTACGGCAAACTTCCTTATTTATAGTTAAACAGATGTCTCTTTATCTAGAGCTAAAACAATGGGCATTTTATCTTTCCTATATGTGTGTTTTTCTATACATAAGATATATGTCTTCCTTTATATAGATTTTGCTAACATGATATATTCACTTATTTATACTGACAGGAACCAGCATTACTATATTTCCTATACAATCTTTCCTTATTGTAAACATACAAGAAAAATACTCCAACACAATATACCTTTCACCTAATCACTAAACATTCTGGGTTTGCAGGATACATTGAGCCATAAACTACAGTATCCAAAAGACTGCTTTTGTAGAATATAGTAAAAGTCCCCCCCCCAAAAAAGTAACCAAAGTTAATCAAGATAGCTTGCAGAATGAATGAGCACCCAGCTTTGTAACTGATCTCATAGCATCTGTTGCATCAACAGAACCTGTTTGTGTGTTCTTTGCCTCTTACACACACATCCCTTCTCAGGCAGGACCCCTGTAGCCTGTTCTTCTCTTTCACAGCAGTCTAGGTGTCCTTTATTTAACCAAAAGGCCTTTAAGAAGAAGAATGACAGAGAGAATGATTGAAGGAGACACAACTTTGTCCAGTGCTATTGAACATAGGGCCCTCCTCGAGGGGGACCCTTTGATCTGCCCCCAGTGGTCCAATCTGCTGAAGATCAAAAAAATTACTAACAATATTTATAGTTCGCTCTATACCAGAGAGGCAACTGTCAGCCCTTCAAGGTCATTTAGACAAGAAGCACCAACCATGAGTATTATCATTGCCTTTATTGTAAGGTTACATTAACAGAGCCTTGCAAGTCTGAAAGTACCTCTCCCCTCCCTTACTTTTACTCTCCCAAACACTAGGGAGGGTCCCTTCTGAGACCTCCCCCTTTGTTTATCAGACCATTGTCTAGTCTCCTGTCTCCCAAGGTCATTCCCACATACCATTACGCCAACCTTGGCTGAGCTGGGAGAAACTAAACAGGTCTGAGCTGAGCAGAACTTGGATGAGAGACCACCGTAAAAGCCACAGCTAGAAGCTGGACTGGGAAGCTGAAAAGTCATTGTGGAAGAAGATAATGACAATTCCCTTATGAATTATTCCTAAGAATGACAATGGAATGAGTCCATAAAATCAGCAGGAGTGAGCTCGATTCAAAGGAAATTAAACTTTTACCTATTCTAGGAATTGCCATCATTTTGAAAGACAGAATCTTTAGTGGTCATTTTATTTGGTATGTGCTTCCATCCAAGTGCAGTACAAACCAACAATTAAACAGTCAAAATTGCAGCAGAGTGTAGGCCAGTATATACAATACAGCAATATAAGAAGGAAGGTTATATCAGAAGATCAGCCACAGCTAGGGCAAATGCAATGCAAATTGATGTAACCAGATAGGCCTGCTGTGTTTTCAACTGTCTGGGAACAGAGTGACAGGACCAGGACTGGAAGAGCCACGTCAAAGTTGTCTAAAGCAGTGTTCCTCAACCTTGGCAACTTTAAGATGTGTGGACTTCGACTCCCAGAATTCCCCAGCCAGTCAAAGTCCACACATCTTAAAGTTGCCAAGGTTGAGGAACACTGGTCTAAAGGAAGAATGAATCACATCAGGGACATCAGCGGTACGCGTGTGTGCATGTGAAAAGTCAAGGTGGCGGGTGCAATCTACAATCAATGCCCCACCCTCTTTTTGTGTGGACACATTAAAAAGGGGTGGGTCTTCAATTGCATGATTGCACCTGTCATCTTGACATTTTTGCCCCTCCCTCTCAGATACTGCTGATCCCACTGGGTTCAGCAAGATATTTATTTTTCTTTGTACCCTTGGAGATCCTTCTTCTCCCCTTTTCCTTCGCTGAATGCCTTCGACTTGTTTCAGTCAGGTCCTGCAGCAGGGAAGAATGAAACACCAGTTTCTTATACCTAGGTGCATTTTATGAAAATTGGGATAAGCAGAAAGCCATGGAAGAGCAGCTTATTTAATTTGCATTTCAATAGTTGCTTCTCTGCTGGTGTATTCAGGATGACATGTATAGAACCCTGGATTAATATCCTTGGGATTTGCACTGAGGGCCTTTTTGCATGACAGCAGTAATGCTACTCTCCAGAGTGAGAACAGGCAGAAAAGGAAGGTCTGTCTGCATGCTGGGGTTCTCATCTGCCTTTGGAAAGGAGCGGATTTGGGGTTCTGTAATTGGGAGAGCCTGAGGGAGGAGAGAAATATGGAGGAATCCCTCCTTGGGGGCCATATGCTGACCTCAGAAGACCCGCAGCTCTTCTGCTCTCAGTTCTCCAATTCCATGAGAGCCATCCTCTACTGCTTCCCACCTCCTTACTTCTTCTCCTGCCACCCTTGGCCAGAAATCCATCCCCCCTTCTCTTCTTCTTAGTTTTTCCCCCTTGGGGGCAGGCAAAGCAAGAAAGCCAAGGAAGGACAGGGGGGTCTTCTCATCCTTTCCTACAGGAGTACAAGCTGTAGATGGCTTCTCCCCACATAAAACACCCCCACTAGTGTGCCAAAGCTGGGTGGGTGGATGTGTTTTAAACACATCTCTACCAGCATATAAGACATTTGTTTAAAATGCACTTCTCTGGAAACTTTGACAGTGCAATGCTGGGGGATGGGGGGCATTCTAAACAGGGGTCTAACCATCTTCTGAAAGAAGAAAAGAAAAGCCATAGAAAGAAGAAAAGCTGGAGCAGTTCTTCCAGCCCCACAGTAACATGTCCAGCTAGCCAATTCAAGGGAGGTATAAGTCATCTTCCAGTGTGTTTTGATCATAAATCTCCTAATTCCCAGCTAGGAAAGCCAGTGGCAGTCCCAACACTTCAGGAAAGTGCCAGGGTAGGCTTTGTGGTGATAGTGGTTCCAATACTCCCAAATACCATCTCCCTTCCAGGACAGGTCCTTGGGCTCCCAGAAAAGACAGAACTATGGGGAAAGTTTTCCTTGAGGTTGTAAGTTTTTCCCTGGGCCCTACCACTTAATCTGGGTATAACTGAAGGCTGAAATTGGGGACTGAAGGGAGCATTCCTCATGTAATACTTACTGTTTAAATTGCAGAAGAATCATAACATGCCAGCCCCTTTCTGGTTGTCTCCCCTATTCTGAAGAATCTGAATAGGTATTCTATTTATCACCAGCAGTCTAAACTTCTGCTGTCTCTGCCATCCTATAATCTGATGGAACTTTGGCCTAGAAAACTGGTGGAGGACTCAGCATTGTCATCACACAGAAGAGGGAGTTTCTTTATTGCTCCGGAGGGCAGGACCTAGACCAAGACCAGAACCTGGGTGAAAACTACAAGAAGGGTGGTTCAGGAGAACATTCCTTACCGTACCAGCTGTCAGCCACTAGAACAGGCTGCCATGGGATGTGGCAAGTTTTCCTTTGCTGCAGGTCTTCAAACTGTCAGGCCTTCAAGGTAGACCACACTAGGAAACCAAAGTCATGCAGGCCAATACTACTCTTATTATAAAGTTATAGTAACAGAATCTTGCAAGTACGAATACACTTCCCCCCTCCCTCCCTTTATTTTTGTGAGAACTAGGGAGGGTCTCACCTGATACATTTTCTCAGATTACAGTTCTGCCCTGGACTCAGATTTCTTTTCTCTGGCCATTGTTTTGGTTGCAGTCCCTCAAGGCCATACCTTCTTCCCATTACATAAACAGATGCTGGGTGGTCATCTGTCAGAGATTCTGGTAGATTCTGCAATGAGCAGGGGGTTGGATTTGATGCCCTCACAATTCCCTTCCAACTCTATGGTTCTTGGCGTCTTTAGGAAAACTTCACTTTGCATCTGAATCCATGGGCCCTCTCTCTTTAGTTCAGCCTGACCTCAGCAGAGCAACGTCTGTCAAGTGCAGCCTCCACTTGGCAGATCCTCTGCAGAGACAGCTGCCTCAGCCAGTAAACTTCCTGTGACCTTCCTCACCCTGGACTGAGCTTTGTGCCCATCTGCTTGACACTTCATCATCGCCTCTGTGCTGTTTTGCAAAGATGCTGTTTTTGTTTCCAGCTAATTGGAACAAAGGCTAGGGAGACAGCTCACTGCACACAGCCAACGTTTGTATTGTGAATGATAAATATTTAGTTTCACGATTCCATAGCCAGGCCTATAAAGGCATTATAGCTCTTGTCTGTGACTGGCCAAATGTTTTCTGCTTTATGTGCACAAAGGCCAACCTAGAAATGTAACAAAACTTGTATTAACGCCGAAGATTTTGGCTGGTTGTCGCCAACCAATATTATTTAGCTGGATTTCCCCTTCCCTCTGACCTGGTCATCTTCTCCTCATTCCTCAGGACCTCTTCCTCTTTCACACCTCCTTTTCTTCTCCCCACAGCAACCAAATCATTGGAAGTAACCATTCTGCTTAGATGATCAATTGGCCAGACCTACCTGGGGTACTAGGCTTCCCATTTTAAGAAGATGAAGCTAGAAGGGCAATAAGGATGATCAGGAGATTGGAAGTCAAGTCAAGTTGTGGGAACTGAGTGTTTATCTTTGAAAGAAAAATGATGTAGTGTCAGACCTTCAAGATAGATCAGACCCAATGTCATGTAGGAATCTAATGCCACGTATCTTTTATTGTAAAGCTAAAGTAACAGAATCTTGCAAGTCTGAATGTGCTTCCCTCCTCCCTCCCTTTATCTTTGTGTGAACTAGGGAGGGTCTTGTGTGAGACGTTTACTCATGTTACATTCCTGCCCTGGACTCAGTCCTCATTTATCTGACCATTGTCTTAGTAGCAGCTGTTCCTCCTGTCCCTCAGGGCCATTCCCTCTTTTCTCTATATGTAGGGAGGCTTGGATCACATTTTTCTTAAGCACTGAGTGGAGTTACATCAAAGAAGGCCGTGATCTGCTCTCTATCATTCCAGACAGGCAGCACTTGACAACAGAACCAGTTATCCAGGTTTGCTTCTTCCCTAAGAGACAAATTAATTATAATTTGGCATACTGTAGCTTTTTGGCCCCAGCAGTCTCTACTTTGGCCTTGATAAAACCCTGGCTGCATTTAAGCAGAGAACACAGGACCAAGATAAGGCCAATGTCTCCCACCTCCACCATAATTCAATTTCCCCCTCCTCTTGGACATCCCTTGGGCATTAACACTTTACGTGCTCCACACAGGAGACATTCTGCAACCAATTTCCAGATACCCCCAAGAAGGTTGCCAAATGTTTATCAATGGCTATGGCTTGCAGAAGTTGTTTTGTGCTGTCTTTACACTATTAACTGTTTCGGGCCCGTCTTTCAACTTTTCATTTTTCACTTGTAAAAATGTATATGTACATATATTTTATCTGCAGTATTTGATGAGGATTGGTCTGGAATGTAAAGAAATAACCTGAGCCAGGTACCCAGAGATAGGGTGAGCTCCCCTTTGCTGGATCTCTTCAAGCAGAGGCTTTCTATTTGCCTGTCAGAAATGCTTTCACTGAAGTTCCTGCTGTAACCAAAGGCTTGGATTTGATGGTCTAAATCAGTGTTGTCCAAACTTGGCCACTTTAAGATGAGTGGACTTCAACTCCCAGAATTCCCCAGCCAGCA